GGCCGCTGCTGCGCGCCATCATCATGGGGCCGCCGGGCTCCGGGAAAGGCACCATCTCCGCTCGGATTATCAAGCACTTCGGCGTGAAGCACCTCTCCAGCGGCGACCTGCTGAGGGACAACATGCAGAAGAAGACAGGTGGGCGCGGGGACGTGGGTGGGGATGTGTGCGTGGCGGCGACAGCCCCTCCTCCTGTCCCCGTCCCGCCGGAACGGTCCCCTCACAGCGCCGCGGGAGCTCGGCGTGACACAGCTCCGCTCCGGGAAGGGACACACGCTCCCAACACGCATTCCTGCCCTTCCCCTCCGAAAAGGGAGGGCGCTTCCCTAATGGGGTTTGCTGCTCCCCATCTCCGTGTGCCCGCCGCGCAGGCAGAGGCGGGGTGACTTCACGCAGCTCTTCTGGAGGCCAGAGGCCACCGAAGTGGGCCTCAAATCTGCAGCCCTGGGTCCTCCACACGCTGACACTTGCCAGCCTCTTCATGAAAGTGGACGGGGTTGTCCTGTTTCCGTTGTTGTGTTTCACCTCATTGTTTCCTTGTCTTGGGTGCTTTTAGTAAGCGCTCAGTGGTTTTTGTACATGTTTCTAATAGTTCTGATAGCTTCTCCAGCTCTGATAGGTTTCTCCAGCTGGAAGCATCTTAAAAGAGAAAAATATTCACATCTTTTAACAGGCAGATCCAGAGGAGGGGTTTTGGGCGATCAGACTTTTTTTGGATGTTCATTTGATGGCTAGAAGTAGGGGTACCTGGAATTGTTAACACCTATTCCAAAATTATGCCTAGTCCTGAGCTGGCAGGCATAACATAGTGATGCTTTCAAAAAAAAAAAAAAAACAAAACAAAAACAACGTGGAAAATTTTCAAACTGCATAGCTTTTAAAATTATTATTGTCTTGTGAGTTCATATCATGATTAGGTTTCAGCAAGGTCTGTATTTACATACAGTGATACAGATAAATATACTAATTACTAGATAAATATACTAATTACTCTTGCTGAATAGGTCTAGCTTGGCCTCTGGCCTCAGCTGAGATACCACAGTCCCTCTCTCTGGTGGACTTTTGCAATATGGAAGGTTCCCTCCTGACTTCCACATCTGCTTTTCTATATGGTGGGGTGAAAAGCCTTGAAAGAACCATCTCAGGCTGTGCGTCATGAAGTATTATTATTTCCAACAGCTTCAAGCTGTAGAATATTCCATTCACTTGTGTAAGTATCACTTCAGTATTATGCCAAGGCAACTGGCAGTCTCAGTTTTGGAATACTCATAAGCATGCTTGAAGGTGAAGCAGCTGTGATGTGATTCCCATGTCTTCAGACAGACTTTATTTACTCAGTAAGGATAATGACTTCAGTACAATGACTGACTTTACTGTAGTTGATATTATAGATACTGTAAGTTAAGAATTTGTGAGGAGTACACCTGATCATATTCTTGCTATTTCTATTTGGTTTCTATCATATGTTTTTATTTACAGAGGGTCACAAAACTGTTCTGTTATGAACTTTCAGTGGAAGATGTGGTGGGTAGCCATTCCAAGAAAACAAAGGAAATGTTATTTTACCAAGTGTTTTGAGGTTTAAAATGTTTACTAAATACTTTTGGTTTTGTGCAAGACCACAGAGCACCAGAATAATGCTAAAGGTTGTGCTAGAAGAGGAAATTCCAAGTGGAAATATCATATTGCTTTAATTGAGCTGGGAGCCTGAAGTGATGCAGAGAAGTGATTATGCAAAGAATTCTGGGTGGGTTGGACAGAGGAAGGAGAGCAAACATGTGAAATAGAAGTTTAGCAGAGACATTAAAAACCAGAATATAAGGAAAGAAGTCAGTGGGCAGCTTAAGAGGTGAAGTTTGCTCTAAATTAGCTACAGCAGAATTTACCAGAATCTGCTACAGAGTTTCTCATTCACTAGTAAACCTAGATGAAACTCTAATGCAATTTCATTGAAAGTCAGTCACTAGTTTCAGAAATGGTTCCCAGAGATGAAGTATGAGGTAGGAGGACTAGGTAGTACACTGAAAATAGGAGAACAACTGAGAGGCAACTCAGACAGCCTAGACAAATTCAGTCAAGGCAAAGATCCATGAGTTTTGACGACACAGAAGAGTCCTGCAATTTCCAGTTCTTTGGGAAAGGAGTTACACTAAGATGGGCAGTTAAAGCCCTTGGAAAATTAGATATAGCTAACAGTAGTTATATGGTGCAAATTTTCTATTTGCTGTCTTGTGAAAATGGACATTGTTGAAAAGTCCTGTTGAAGATGAGTGTTCTTATCATTCTGCAGTTATTATCATGTTCTTTTGGACAGTGGAGAGTCTGTGACCACTTCTCTAATGCTAAGGTAATTATTGTCGGGTTATGGCTAGAGCTTGACTGCTGTAATGTGGTTAGAACCTGCTGATCCTTTGTAAAGCCATGGAGCATGGCTACCTGTCATCACCTACAAAGGAAAGAAACCTGTGTAACCTGTAATTCTGAAGATTGCCATGCCTTTATGGTTTCAGATCCAACCTGTAAAAAACCCTAAGCCAAATAAAACCTACAAAACCCCATGAAATCCCACTCCCAATAGCAGGAGTGGAGGGTGGGGGGGGACCTGCTCTGAGCTGGTGCATATATATGACTAATTGTGTATGCTTCTGCCTGTGTTTTCCCCTCTTAATAGCGACTTTCTAAATTACCTGAGTTCTGTAAAGGGAGGCAAAAGCCAGTGGTTTTCAAGCTCTGTTAGTCTAATAATGGCTTGCCATATTCTAAACATTTCTGGGCCCAAAAACTCACAAATCTTTCTAAAGTAAGTTAGAATTGCTCCCTGTGAACCTTGTCTTGCAAATATTTTTAGATTCTTGTGGCTAGAGCAATGCTGCAACATAAATCAGTAGCAGAGCCAAGCATCAAGTACACATTAAACTATCTAGACATGATTTATTCCTTCTCTCAACCCACTTTTTCAGGGTACATGGTCCAAAGCACACCAGAATAATAAAAAAAGATATGCAGAAGGGAGGTAGGGAAGACACACTTTGTACACAGACAGACAGTCATCTTCTTTCCAGTTTGTGATGTGCTGGAGGACTCAGGCACCACAGTCTGACTCTTTTCCATATAGTGAGCATGTTTTGAAGTCTGGACAAGGTGCACAGTGCCTGTTTCTAAATGGTCTTTGTACTTTTCAAAGCCTGACTACAGATGTGAACAGCCAGGAAGCGAAAATTGTTCTTTTTTTTTTTTTTTTTTTTTTTTCTCATCACCAAATACAAATCCTATTTGCATTATTTGGGGTATGTACTGCTTTTCAGTTGCCTCACCTGAAGAAGGGCCTCTGTCCTGTTGTACATTTCATCCACTGAGTGATGGGTCTGGCTTTCTGCTGAAAGTGGTCATATCTGCCTGGATATCTCCATCCATCTCATTCTCTCTTTAGTTTTCTGTAACTAGACCTTTACTGGTTCCAAGTAAAGGCTTCTGCAGACCCACAATAAAACCAGTCTGCCTGCAATTCTGGGTTACGTAACAGAATTGGGTAATTGCTTTATAAATTAAAGATATGGCAACTTTGTGCCAAGGACACAACCCAGGCAACTGAATTTCTTCCTGGCTATATGCATGATTTGGGTGAACTACAGCAGGCTACTGCCTGCCATGTAGGAGCATAGTGTGACAGCTGGAATGACAATGCGTGGATGGGATTTTAGTGAGCCAGTGGGATAAATGACTGGTACTAAATGTTAGTCAGTTCCATGGGAAAATACTAGTGTCTGTATACTCCCATAAATAGTGTACACTATCTATAAACACCCTCTTGCCACTCTAGTAATCATAAAAACACATATCTGGCAAGCAGGTCCCACTGCATACTGTCAAAGGCATTTATGTTTGTAATGAAGCCTAAGTGTAAGTTAATAACTGGCCACTAAGCCAAGAAAATAAACTTTTTTTTTCAGGAAGTCTGAGGGCTGATATCTTAATAAACTTGTTTCCTTTCTATTTTTTATTTTGAAGACTCTTGGTTAACGGCCTCTCCTCACTTTAGTTTTTAGAACTTCATATTTCAAATACATACTAGTAAATTTACTTAGAGGGTGTGTGTTTTGCCCTACAGGTGGATCTAATTAATCTGATATGTATTTGTATGGTCAGATCCTAGTTGATCATCTTGATATTTTTTAATTTTGGTAAGCATGCTGTCTATCTGGTTTACAACTTTTCTCTGTCACCCGATCAAAACAATTTTTTTGCAGGCTTGTAGCTTTTTCTCACTTGCTGGAGGTCAGAGATAGTGTAATCCAACTTTTACTTTTGCAGAAGTGGGAATCCTTGCCAAGTCCTACATTGACCAAGGGCAGCTTATTCCAGATCACATCATGACACAACTAATGCTGAATGAGATCAAAGGTTTAGACCAGTACAACTGGCTATTGGATGGTAAGTTATCATGTTGGATATCACTATATATGGAGAGAAAATCTGCTCTGGAAAACTTGGGACTGCTTTGGTAGCTGGTAGCCAGCTTGTTGTGAAACTTTCAGCAGATAGTCTGCCCCCAGTTTCTTTGGCTGACAAATGCTTTGGATGTACTCTGCCCTCAGAACATTACAGGGATATTTAACTCATGTTAAAAAGGGTAGTTTGACACTACAGAAAAATTTCAAAACTGGCAATTCTGGTATTTTTTATGATAATTCATATAGTATTTCCCCATTAAAATAGGCATTGCAGCAGAAAGTTTGTCTGCATCAGCATTTGTAATGAGACCCAGTGAATTACTCTAGGGATAGCTCTGGCATAATGGGCTTCACAGGAACAACACTGTTCTGTTTAAATGTTAACCCATAATCTTAAATTTGGTAACTGCAATGCAGAACAAACAGATGGGGTCAGTTAGCTCAAACTAGAGCTGCTGAACTGCTTGCATGTTCACTTAGCCAAACACCCATTTACTGCCTTACAACAGGTTGGTGGCTTCTGGAGTCATAGCAGATGTAGCAGTCTGAGTCATATGTGTCTGTGGGTATAATCCGTTTAGATTTACATGCTGTATAATCTAGAGCACTTTTCTCTGTGTTCCTGGAATCTTCGTAATTCATCATCTCTTGCAGATCTTTTTCTGTAGAGAGAGAACACTATGTAGAAAATGTCAGTTCCATTTCAATGAAATGCTTTCCTAAAAGCACTTCAATTTGTTGAGGAATTTTCTCATTACTCAGTCCAAAGCAAAAGCAAATTTCCAGCTGCATAACTTAGAAACATGGTGGCTGCTAATAGTAAGAAAGAACAAAAGTTCAGTGTTGAACAGTGTTCAACATCAGTGTTGAAGACCCGGCTCTTCCTCTGCTCTTACCATTTAGAAGCACTTTCATGCAGTAATGTGAATGTGTGAGAAATACAATGAGGGCAGCTCATGACTGTGATGCAAGCTAGGTGCAAAAGACTTAATGCACAAGCAAGGACTTGGTCTGAGTTAATAAACTCTGTCTTTTTGTAATGTTTTTCCTTACTCATGCAATGGACAGATCAACACTATGCAAGAGTTTCTTAAGTTTGTGTCTATCGGTACTTGCCTTTATGAAGAAGTTTACTTGTACAGTATGATGCAAATTAGAAACTACTGAAGAAAATGAGACTATTCTAGAGCTTTTTGAGGAGAGGAACTGTTCCACTGAGTATAGGACACAATAGCATGTTCTGCAGTAGCTTTGACCACTGATTGTCTTTGCTCAATACTTCATTTCAGATTCTTTGTGGAGATGTTGCCTTTCTTGTTCTTTGTTCCCACTGCACCCCTCTTAAGTTCCACTAGATTATCTAATAGTTTAAGGCATAGAATAGGGAGCCACAGAGTTAAGGGGGAAAAATGCAGCACCTTTGAAGTGAAAAGACAGATTCCTGATCAGCCTGAGTGTTCTCACAGTCATCATATCTGAGGGCAGTTTGATATACTAAAACTTTCACAAGCCTTCTAAATCCTGTACTGCTTCTGGTAAATAGATTTGGCTTTCTGCAACTGAATAAAACAGGTTTGTAATGGCCACCACCTTAAGCCAGACTTACACAGCTCTGAAAGTAAGATATATCACAAATGTTTCTAGGTGGTTCTGAGGGAAACTCTTCACTGGATGTTTTATTATTCCAAATGTGTATACAGTGCTTTTATTCAGTGTAGTGGTATATGGTGTATATATAAATACAGGGTCTTTTTGCACTTATTTTTTGCAGTCTTGGGAAGATTATTAGCTGAAATGAAGAAATAAAAGCTGGGAGGCATTTAAAAAGTTAAAATGCCATGACATACTGAAAGATATTGGAAAATCTAATGTCTCTTCCATCTTTATAGAACATGACAATGCTTTTTGGTTTTTTTGCCGTGTAACAATTATTTTCTTTAATGACTCAATCCAGGTAATTTTTGCTATAATTCTGCTTTCAGAATTTTATGCAGTTGTTTCCTTTAAAAAGGTTTCCCCAGAACAGTTGCTCAGGCAGAAGCACTCGATAAAGAATGTCACATAGACACTGTGATTGACCTAGACGTGCCATTTGAGACCATAAAGTGTCGGCTTACAGCACGCTGGATCCACCCTGCCAGTGGCAGAGTTTACAATCTTGAATTCAGTCCTCCCAAAGTACAGGTAAGCAATATGCATTGCTGTTGGCACTAAATAATTACTGCATTGTGTTTGCTAGCTGCAGTAAAATACTGTTTGCATAATGGGTTTCAAAACACAGCAGCTCAGAACATAAAGGCTCATCTCATTTCTTGGGAGTGCAGAATCTTTCTGTTAACACCGTGCTGGTATTGAGGGTATGTTAGTGACCTGGCACAACCTCAAGGTGTTGGACAATGTTATTTGTCCCCTGCAGAGCAGAACACCATGATGTTTTGTAAGCACTTGTTAAAACTGTTCACTGATCTGGAATACTGTCTGCCTTGTGTACTGGCACAGGATCTGGGCATGGTCTTAGCCTGTTTGCAGCCTGTAAAGTCCAAAATGTAGATTTCTTTTCCTTCCTCCAGAGGAGTAATGCTTTATATATAGGAAACTAGTCAGAGGAATCCACTTAATGCTTTCCCTGTGTTTATATTTAACCAAGATGGGTATTTTCAAGGGAAGAGCTGCAGTATTGCAAAACTGGATGTAGAAACTTTCAAGTCAGGGAAGCTTTTCAACAGATTAATTTTTAACAGATTTTTATGACTTGAGATATCCTAAAAAGAAGATTGAAGATAAAGACTGTACGTTGTTACCTTAAATTTTTTCAAGAACAATTTGCTTTAGTGCAATTCAGCTAAAACTGTATTTTATCCTTAACTCTAAATAACTTAGCTGTTGTGGCATCACATTTCACTTGGAAGCTCTATTAATTTACATCAGATATATGCAGCAGGCTCTGGAGCTTTCGAATTTCAGTGTTGCAGGAAAAGAGGCCAGCTTGAAATACCAGGTAAGCACTGGAAGTGAGCAACTGAAAATATTGCCTTTGTTTTGTTTAAAACAAGGTGCTTAAAGTCATGGTTATTTTCAATTGCAGAAAAGCACAGGCAAGATGGAACAGAGAATTCTCAGACTTACCAGAGTAGGCTTCAGCTGCCAGAGCTTTGCTGTTTAGGATCTGTCTTACCTTTCACTAATTAGCAGACTTACTACAACACAATGGACTGCAATACTTAAATTGAAAACATGGAATAGAGCTAAACAGGTGAAATACAGTTGTCTCTATTATCTTAATAAACCTGCAAAATGCTTGCTTACTTAGTAGGAACATTCACACATTAGGTCCCTACCTCTGTAGGGAAAGCTTCAACTGACTCTCACGCCAATTTTTTGTACAGCTGCTGTTAAATAATAACTCTTCCATCTTGCAACTTAAAATCAAAGGGCCATTAACTCCTTTTCCCATTTTAGTGTTGTCAAATGAAGGTCCAATTGGTCTCTTATTTCTTGTTATACAGGAATGTATTACCAACAGTATTGTTTCTTCTTGTACATGAAGGTTTTGTCTTCACATTCCCCACGTTCTGTGAATGTTCCAGAGGACAAATTAGTCAAATTAGTCAAGTTACTATGATCTAATATTCATTGGCAATACTGAAAAAACATTTTTAACTGACAGACTGTTTTACTGGAAAGTCAACAACTTAACATTCCAGACAAGAACACATGCAGCACCTTCTCTTTATAAGCAGAAATCTACATCCTGATTAAGTGGAAATTGATCATAATTTCAATAGAAAATTACATAAAGCATGCTTAAAGAGAAGTAAAAAGTATACTCTGGTATTTGCTTTTAACCATGATTAGGGCATTGATGACATTACTGGCGAGCCCCTTGTTCAGCGTGATGATGACAAGCCAGAGACTGTCAGCAAGAGGCTCCAGGCTTATGATGCACAAACAAAACCTGTCTTAGAATATTATCGGTGAGTAGTAAAATGTGTTCTTCCACATTTTAAAATATTACTGTGCATCAGCATAGTGATGAATAGATCTCTCTGCTACAGAATATATTATACCACAACAGCGAGTGTGGTGTGAGTAGCTGTGTAGCTTTCATGAACTCAGTCAGAAATCAACCCAGCAGAATGAGTATGATTTTCCAGGGCTGCATGAGACCTCCTGGAACCTGTGTGGTAATATAACCTGCCATTGCAGCCAGCCACATTCAGCTTCATGAAGAATGCTAAGCATTACTCAATACCTCCATAGTACTGCTATGAGCAACAACAGCTCTGGTGGGTGAAGTAACAGACAGTTCCTTCTTTTGCAAGAATTTACAATATTTTGTTTTCTGGATGTATAAGTAGAACACTGCTAATAAGTGCAAGGGGTCAAGAAGCCATACACAAATAGAGAAACTGTTAGTGAGGATTTATATGTGGCTGTTCTAAGAACAGGACTGTGACTGGACACAGCTAGCAAGACTCTTTAGGAAGAAGTAGCTAATTCAGAATTGTCATTTGCGTTGTGGAGTGGAAATAAATTACTAGTTCTTTTAAGAATCAAAATTATACACAATGTTTCTCCTAACGTAAAGCTGCAAGCATCATACTGCTGATTCGTAGCAGGTCACCATGTAGAGCTCTAGTCTTACCTTGCCTAGACAAAGAAATCAGACTCTGACAACATCAATGGTTGTCCTTTTTGTATTTTCACATTCACCACCCTTCATTGTATTCTTCCAGGACTGTTGAGCAGAAATCAATGTCCAGCCTGCATTTCCAATGCTACAGCTTTCTTGGTGTTACATCACATGCATATTTTCACACTCCCGCCAGGGTAATCTTCAAGTGAGGTGGAGATTTTGGAACAATTAAACAATTTGACATTTGTAATGCTTTCTTATTTTTTCTTCCTTAGGAAAAAAGGGTTATTGAAATCATTTTCTGGAACAGAAACCAATAAGATCTGGCCACATATCTATGCTTTCCTTCAAACCAAGTTGCCAGATGTGAGCCAGAAAGATGCTACCAACCCCAGGTGAAAATGGGTCAAACTTCTTATCTGTCATAGCTCACTCCCAATTACATGAGATTCTGCAATCAAGGATTTGTCCAAGTAGTCTACCAGACTCATCAATAATTTAACTCCAGTACTGTCCTTAACTTACACTAAATTTTGTTGCCTGTGGTTACCACTTCAATGCTGTATTTTTTTGTATTAAATATACCTAATTTCAAAAATACAGTAATTGTCCTTAACAAAAGCCAGTACTCTTGTGTCTCTTATTTGGCAAACACATTTGCAATATTGATTGATAAAGGAAACACATTTCAGAATACATCTTAATTAGAAAGCACATTGACTGGTTTACTCAATCAGTAAATAAAGCAATGACAAGAACATGCAAGCACATTTCCTTGAACATGTGCCTAGCTGGAGGAGCTAGCCAGAAGCTGTGAAGAACAATGATGACTGGTCTACAAAGAGTCATTTCAGACCAGAGCTCCTGTGTATGGAAACTGATCTTATGGAAAGGTTAGCTTCGTGTTTGCTTACACAGATGTGACTTGATTTTGCTCACTATAAATTACACTTATACCAGGGCAAATTATCTAAGCAATTATTATGTTTCTATTTCTGCCCTCAAAGCAACTATTTTGAAGAAAATGGGAGTTTCAGTGATGTGTAACACATTTGGTAAAGCCTCTGATTTTGTGTGACCCTGCAAGACTTCATCAGTAAAAAGATACTGAACAGATTGTGTAATCTGGTAAACCTGTAGCTAGCTAGCTGTATGATCTTGACCAATGAATGCCTTTTGTACTATCTTTGAAAACAAGTGCTCACTGATGCCAGTGACATGATTTCCAGTGGTCAAAATACTAACTTTGGCACATTACTGTAGCAATTTTTATTGTAGCAACTGGACTGGTTTTCATGTGGTTCTTGTCTCCGACCAGCTCTTCTTGTGTTAATTCACTACATAACTGGAAATACAAACTTCCACAGGCCACAGTTCTTAACAGTCCAGGGACTGCAGACTCCCAGCCCTTTTTTAATGCTCATCAGAGTGGAAGTTTCAGGAGTCAGCAAAATCTGAGGAACAAATGGTCTAGGTAATGTCTGAAGTAGCTGTGTCGCAGTAATGCAGATTCCAATCTCCTTTAGCAGTGACTGTAAACAGCTACAGAGCTGGGGTGCTGACATACCTTGGACTGCATCTGCACATCCAGTTTTAGCATTATAAATATTCAGACATATTTCAGTCTGAAAAGAGATAGCCATTGTAGAATTTGTGAAGTTTTCCCCCGACTATAAATTAACAACATAAACAGCAGCTACCAGTACAATCAGTTTTCCTTTCATTTAAAGAAAGCTTGCCAAGAAGATTGACCACTTCTACTGTCCTCTTGAGGAAATACCTGCTGCTAGTATTCTTACATTTTGATTTCAATTAAAAAGTCAATTTTTTTTCATCAGCATACATAAATTTCAGTCAACCAGAAGGAGGAGGGGGAGGAAATCTCATTATTTGACATTTATTTCTGCAGCATCCAGTTTTACTCCCTTGGAAACTTAAGAAATAACTTCTACTGTGTAACAGGTTGTTAGATCCACTGCTAAGGGTAGCAAGTCACTGTGCTATATTGCGCTTTCTACCCTTGTATACAACATTCAGTTAAAAAACAACCTGAAATTACTTGTTTTCCTTTAAGTTTCCTTTAATATTTAACTAATTATTATTAAGGAGGAGGCAGTGTTTGCTTACCCTTTCCTAGAGGATTTGCCAAGTTTAACCAGATGCAGTAGAAATTTGTATTTTTTGTCTCAAATTTGCATGTGGGACAGAACTGCTCCTTGCTCTTCAGTCTGTTTGCAAAAGAAGGCTAGAGAACAGAAGTCATATGGAAAGCTACTTCTATGAGTGCATTTGCTATTGCATTGGTACTAACACTCTGGTATATTCTGCAGACTTGGCTGTAGGCAAAACTGAAAATTACTGGAATCTACTTCCCGAATCACATAATTAAGGTTGGAAAAAAATTCCTAAATCATTGAGTTTAACCTCTAGCCATCACCACCCTGCCAAATAACTCACAGCACTAGGTGCCATGTCCAATCATTTCTCAAAGACTCCCAGGGATGGTGACTCCAACACTTCCATTTTAATGCTTGGCAAACCTTTCAGTGAAGGAAGTCCTCCTGATGTCCAACCTGAACTGCCCTGGGCACAGCTGGAGGCCATTTCCTCTTGTCCTGTTACTTCTTACCTGAGAGAAGAGGCCAAACCCCACCCAGCTATACCCTCCTTCCAGGCAGTTGTAGAGAGAGATAATGCGCCCCTGAGCCTCCTTTTCATCAGCCTGAACGACCCCAACTCAATGAGCTGCTCCTCCCAGGACTTGTGCTCCACTGCCCCTCTCCAGACATGCTCCAGCAGCTCCATGTCCTTCCTGGAGTAAAGGGCCCAAAACTGAGCACAAGATTTGAGGTGTGGCCTCACCCGTGCTGAGTACAGGGGAACAATCCCTGCCCTGCTCCTGCTGCCACACCATTGCTGGCATAGGCCAGGATGCCATTGGCCTTCTTGGCCACCTGGGCTCACATTCAGTCGATGGCACCAGCACCACCAGGTCCTTTTCCTGTGGGCAGCTTTCCAGCCACTCTGTATCAGCTTGTGGCACTTGTGGGGTTGTTCTGCATGAACGAGAAACAAGGTAGGCTATGACCACTGAACTTTTGAAATCAATATGTCTTCCAAACCTACATAAAATCAGGACAATTCAGTAATGCATGAAGAATATGGATGGGAGGCATAAGCTGTCTTTGCTACTCTTCCAATTAAAGTATACATGACTAACTTGCTGTAATAGCACGTTAAAAAAGCACAGCAGAGTTCTGGAGTGCAAGATTCTGTTGTCTATAAAATGTATTTGGATTTCTAGCTTCTTAAACAAGAAGCTTTTAATGGTTTTCCACTTAATGTTTGAGTTGACAATGTCAGAAACCTACTTTGGTTGAGTAACATATGAAGTAACTTTCAAACAGTGCATGACACTTCACCCTATGTGACTTGAAACAAAGCTTTTTGTTTAAACTGAGGTCTTAGCCTAACGCTTGTACAAGTTCCCTTCATCAATGACTTCAACCTTAACAAGACTTGGGTATAAAAAAATAATCTGAAGTTAGCCTGATGAACAAGAAAAGAATCAGACTCCCAGAAATCATACAACTCAGCATTCATTTGTAGACAAGTGATGTTATGTTTTAGGATTAAACCAAGTTATGTTTAATGAAAGTACAATATAACATTTATATCCCCTTAGTAGAGGTAGAAAGCCAGTGTTTTAATCTAATCCATTCAGATCAGAAATACTGATACCAGATACTGATTTATTGCTATTAGTGATAACCAAATTTGAGAGCTTATACTGTCAGCAAGGTAGCATGAATACAGTTGCAATCTCCAATATTCAGAGTAAAACATATCCATATCTGTAGTAAGACAATAGCAGATTCTACCAAGAATCTGCTGCTTCTTGTAAACATTGTATTTGTGCAGATGTTTAATTTCTAAAATCATGAAAGGCAAGGTTAGTAGCAGAAAACACATCCAGTTTCACATTCGGCAATATAAGAACCCTGCTCTTCAAGGACAACTAAAAACCTAGCAGCACATTTCAAACAATATTACAAGTTTTTTCTTAATTACTCACCCTTCAAGGTCCCTCCCCCAAACCAAATCAAAAAAACAAAAATCTGACACCAAAAATAAAGTGCAGTACCCAGAAAATTAAGTGTCAAGAAAATAGCCGTGTTTGTTTCTTTGGGGAAAAAAAAAGGGAAATAAAGGAGTACTTGGCCTCAGTCTTAAAAGTACTATAATGTGTCCATCATTTTGGATTCTTCTTCATCTCTTTGTATCACAGAGTTGAAACTGCAGACATCTGTGTTTATGGAACCTTGCAGATCTCCTGTGTTCTGCAACAGATGAAAAACTGACAGCTTAATGCTTCATAATTACATAGATGGAGGGAGAAACAGAGAGAGGGAAACAGAGACCGTTTCCATTGTCCATGTTATGATGAGACAAATTTACAATAGAAAGGAAGTAAGATCTGAAAACATCCTCCACCAGTATTTTGTCACTGTGTCAAGAATTTTTTTAATTCTTGCATAGCTTGTATTTGGTCTTAATACTTTTAGCACCTAACTGCACATTTATACAAAATTCAGCTGTTTGATCTATCTCTGAGAGGTACTTCAATCAAATTATTTCAAACAAGTACTTTCAATTGTGACTCCTTTCCTAATACATAATTTTTGACAATCTTCTAAGTTGTTTCTTCATTACAGAATGTGGCCCTAACTGAAACTGCAAAAAACACCTAAGTATACCCTTTTACAGGAAGACTTTCCTTAAACTTGACTTCTCTTGCCCAAAGAAGTTGTGAGGTCCCTGGCAGTGTTCAAGGCCTGGCTGGATGGGGCTGTCTGCCCTATGAAAGTTGTCCCTGCCGTGGCAGGGAGTTTGGAACTAGATGATCTTTAGGGTCTGCTCCAACTCAAACCATTCTATGACTCTGTAACTTACTTGACTGATCCCATGATTTTACACTGCTTGTGGTGATGACTGGGAATACAGTTCTAAGATCTGATCAGATTTATCATGCAGTGTTTATTTTAGGAAGGAAAATGTAAAAGCAATGAACAAACATATACTTTTGACCTTTTGCTGATGCTGTGAATTCCAGCAAGTAAAAAGAAAGGCCATAAATGCCCTGTGTATTAATAACACTGCATGATATATCCTAAACACTAGCAATTCAAGAAACAATCCTTTTTATATCTCAGAAAGGTACAGCTTCTCTAGGCAGGACCTAATCCTGCCTTAGTTCAATTAAATTTTGGAAATAATAAACCTACCTGTAAAAAAGATGTCCATTCTCCACCACAGCCAGGGCTGACATTGAGATCATGGAGTAACATGGTCTGAAAGCCATGTGATTGTGACCAGATTCTCACTCTCGCCTTGAATGCCTCAAGTTCACCTTTAAAGGCCTCAAAGTAGCCTTCTCCTGTCTGCAAAGAAAAAAAATGAAGTATTCGTTCTTTAGCAATTTGTTCTTTTGAATTGTAAGCTTACACAGTGCTGAAAAAAAATCCAGACAGTAATGACATGTTATACCTTTTGGGGAATAACAACTGTGAACAACTCAGGGATAAAGTGATAAAGTTAGTCAATTTAAAGTTATGTTTCATGTAG